GGGGTGCACACGCCTTGTGTTTTCTCATTTAGCTTCTTGACCCACCTGTGTCCATCTGCCTGGCCTGCTGCCCGCTCTGTCTCTGGAGAGCCCTCTCACCGCCCCTGCACCTCTGGCCTGCACCCCAGTTCTGCAGGCATCAATGAATAAATCTTGAAAAACAAAAAGGTGTCTTGGTTTATGCATCCAGAACTGGGGTACAGGCCAGGGGTGCCGGGGCGGTCAGAGGGCTCTCCAGAGACAGAGTGGGGAGCAGAACAGGCTGACTGATGAAGCCCAATGCTGAGGGGGACAGCGGGCGGGTCAGGAGAGGTCTGCCGCGCCTTGGGGGTCACCTCCGGGGCAGGCGGGGATCGAACTCGTGCAGGCGCTGAGGCCAGCTTGCAGTGCTGCGCTTTAACCTCTCGCGCCACCAGGGAGGACCCCACTTCCAGAATACCCTCTTGACGTAGTTAGAAAATACAGTCACGAAACACCTGAGGGCGATGCTTCTGTCTCTGTGGCCGTGAGGTGGCCAGCCTCACCCCTCTGGGGAGTGCCTTTCCAGAAGCTTCATCAGCAAAGCCTGCCCTCGGGACATCCCCGCCGGCCAGGCCGGACCTGCAGACTTCTCGACTCTCGTGGAGAGCTTTACGGAAAGCGTAAAGCATTACGGGGCCACCTTTGGCTGGCTTTGAGCACCACGCCAGCAGGGCTTTCTGACCCGGTTACATTGCAAAGGGGGTTTCGGGGTGTCTTCTGCAGAAACAGCGGGTTATGTGAACTGGGGGTCCTGTGGGAGTTTCTCTCCACAACCCTTGGGTCAGCCACCCTCCCCCTCCCCTTCTGGCTTCTTTTTGAAAAGAGCTTGGACCTCACCCACCTTCTAAAAGGGGTGCCCCAGGCTTGGGGCTGGCGTTCTTCTTCTCCTCAGGGGTGTGTGGCCGGGATGGGGTGGGGGCGAAGGGGAGTCAGAGACAGATTTCTGGCTGCACCCCGATGGAGTCTTCCCAGCCCTCTTCCCACTCAATCCCTGCGCGTCTGGGGGCGACTCCCTGGCCCCCGTGTGTTCTCAAGCCGATCAACGTAATTTCCTAGTCTTGTTCTGTTGAGGGGCTTCCATGGTTCCTGTGTGGACTTTGCCGATCCTTGAACCCTTGGATTCTCAGAGGTTCTTAGACCTCCCGCCCAGCAGACAGCGTCAACGTTCGGGCATGCGTTTGGGGGGGCACCCCACGAGCCGCCCCCTTCCAGGCACCCCCTTTCTGCGATACACTCTGGAGGCTTCCTCCCTGCTCGACTTGTGTTCACGTCTGCCCTGGCTGGAGAGTTGCATCCTCGTTCCTGACAAAGTTGGGGAGCCCCATCCGCGTTCCCCTCTCTCCCGTCCCCCGACACAGTCAGACTCTGCTCCCCACGGTGAGCTGGGCTGTGCCGGCGGGCTCCTCTCTGAACCCCACAGATGTGCACACTCCCGGTAGTTTTTTATGCCTCCAGCTCAGGGCGCCTTTTGCCCTGACTCACTCCTGCGTCTGCCTCGTGGAACCTGAGTGCCGCCCAGGGCACAGTGGGGGTACAGCCCGTGAGGGCCCCACCCGGGTGGGCTGTGCTGGAAGGCAGGGCGGGGTGGGACGGCCCCGGGGAGGTCACGGGACGTGAGCCGTGAGCCACGCTCCTGTCTCCCTCCCTCCGGAAGGCAGTTCTGAGGCGTGTGTGGCGGGATTGGGCTCTGGAAAGAGATGCCAGGCTCCCAGAGGGCAAACTCCCAGCGGTTCGGAAGCCACCTTGACCTTGACCTTCACGGGAAAGGAAGCTAATAGCCAAGGGCCCAGAGAGGAGGCAGAAGAGTCGCCCCAGGGCCTGTGGGGGGTGGGTACCAGTCTCACAGTTCCGTCCAGCGGGCGGCTGGACACTGGCGGCTGGCGGCTGGGTCTCGGGATGGCTAAGGGGGTGCTCCTGTTCCTCACGTTGCATTCCTGGTGCCAGTGAACCCCATTCCCCGTGTGTGTCAGGCCTCCAGCTGGCCTGTCCCTCCTCAGAGGTCCCGCCGTCGGGGCACAAGCCCACAGAGTTACCCAGACCTGAAGGACAGCGCAGGCGATGACCGTGGGGCACCCCAGCCCAGCCCGGGGCCCGGCCAGAGGCTCCAGTGGGCGGGGCTCTCTGGGTGGGGTCACCCCTATGTCTCGCCCCTGCCACCCCCGTGCGTTCTGTGTTTTCCAGGAAAGAAGGGCTGTCCAAGTGTGGACGG